TGGATGCTGTGGATCACAATCTCAGACCTGGCTGCATGTCACGATCTCAGATACCAGTTTAGCAAGGTGGCAGAAGATAAGAACAGTGTACAAAAGTCAACAGTATTTCTCTGTTCTATCAAGAAATAATGTAGTGTGGTTGTGGAGAAACAATTCCATTTGTAATAATTTTAAAAGGAATAAAAGACTGAGGAATAGATTTAATGAAAATATGTAAAAATATATCCTCTGAAAAATACACATTATTGGTAAGAGAGAATAAATAAATGGAAAGACACTTAATTAGAGCTCTTGATGCTGGTCATGTGGCCATGTGTTACAATTGAAAAAACTAAAACTGTCCAAATAATCTTGAAAAAGGACAGCAAAGTCAGAGAACTCACCTCTTGATTACAGAACTCACTACAAAGCTGCAATAATCAAAGCAAGGTCAGTTAGACATGGTGGCGCATGCCTTTAATCCCAGCACACAGGAGGCAGAGGCAGGCGGAGCTCTTTGAGTTTCAGGCCAGCCTGGTCTACAAAGCAAGTTCCAGGACAGGCCAGCCAGGGCTGCTATACAGAGAAACCCTGTCTGGACAAACGAAACCAAGCCAACCAACCAACCAACCAACCAACCAACCAACCAACCAACCAAAGAAACAAAGCAGACTGATACTCTCATGAGAAGAGAATTCAGAGTTCAGTGGATGTGGAAGTCATACAGTGATGTGTGTATTGTAGTGATATCATGTTTTTCTAGGATCCTTCAGAAATCAAGATCAAGTTCTTCTAGCTGGGCCAGTAGATGAGGAAACACACCATGTAAGAGACCCATAGAGGTAGGGAATTGCTCTTAGCTGAGAAGACCTTTCTGACAAGCTAGAGATGGAAGCTCTGGGTAAAACAAGCAATATAGTAAAGAACACATGGAAACAGAAATCTATCATCCAACAATTGGTCTATCAATCATCTACATATCCCCTATCTACCTATCATTCATCTATGATCTATCTGTCCACCTATCATCTATAGTTCATTAATCACCTATCAATACTCTATCATCTATCAGTTATCTACCTATCATCTATCAATTATCTGTCATCCATCCAGCTAACTATCATCTACCTATCTATAACTGTATTGTCTAAACCCATAGTTTGTTATTCGATGGGTACATTGCAAGCTTTTTGCGTGTCTCTGTGGCAGATGAGAACACCTTATGAAGAATGCCATGTCCTTTGGCATAGTGTGAACAACAACCTTGATAAAAACCCTTCCTTGAAAAATTCCATTGACATAAGTCATAGACTGAGTTGGAAGGAACAATACGAATCACCTGGCTCACCATGTGTTTGATGGATGAATGCTTGACTACATCTCATCGGAATCCTTGTGGGCTATGGAGTGAGTGAGATGAGGAGTCTCCGGTTTTATTTATGACCCTTACCGTCTTCAAGTATTTGTCTATGCTCCATCAAGCCATTTAAGTGAAAGGTAACTACACAAAAGGACCAATTCTTCCCTTCATTAGTCATCTGGGCTTTTGAAATGTTTTTGAAACATTCCCTTAGACCTTGTCAGCCGTTCAGAAAACTGCAAGATCTGTACATCGCTCAAGTTTAACAGCATGCAGTTGTGAAGTTCAACAATCCGTGGTGGTTTTGTGTGTTTCTCTTTATGTGTAAGCTAGGTGCCAGATTTTTCTTCTCCCGAGTTGTTAATTGTTTATCTGTGTTTGGCTTGTATGGTTCTTGTTAAATGTTTTTGATTCTTTCGCGCTTCTTTAGCCAGCCGAAGCGATGAGGAGAGAGTTTGAGATGGTGTTTTTCAATGAAAGCTAATGGAAAACATGAACACAAGGCACTTGAGAAATGTAGTAAGGGGCAGCGACAGGGACTAACTGTTCTTCCTCTGCTTGTGGGTGAAGTGCATGCCCACACTAATGCTGTGTTATGTGCCTTAGCTCCCAGCTGCTTAACACCCTACACTAAGACATCTGCATCGCAAACACGTGTCTCTTAGAATGAAGGAAGGTGGATACGCTCAATGCCTGTAGTCTGTGAACACAACTCCAACCTCTCTCCTAAAATCAGAGCACACCATAGTTTTTGTATACATGGGAATGTTTGTGGGGAAAGCTTCTACGTTCATTAGTTGATATATTAAGGTTTGCAAGATGCTTACGGACCTTGCCTTAGCAAATGGAACATCTGCTATAAGCCAATGGGGAACCTTGATATTTCAACTGTACAAATTTGCAATGTAAGTTTTAGATAATTATTTTTGCCTATAAAGACTCACATGATGTCTCTCTAGTTACTATGTAACGTTAAGCTTTCTCTAAACCCTCAAAGAGTCCTCAGGAGAAGCTTGTCTATGGGCTGGTGGAATGTTCTGGCTCACACACCTTTTCTGTCTGGGCAGCTTCTCTGCCCAGGTGGTTTAACTGGTTCCTTGCAGAGAGTCTGGAACGGAGATGTCAGAACTCCAAAGGGTGGATTAGTCTAAGATGAAGCAATTCAGAAAATTACAAAGGCCTCATTTTAGGTGTGTGTGTGTGTGTATGTGTGTGTGTGTGTGTGTGTGTGTGTGTGTGTGTGTGTATGTGTCTGTCTGTCTGTCTGTCTGTCTCTCTGTGTGTGTGCATGCATGAAACCCTGTAACTAAGCAGACATTAGCTTTCCTAGTTTAAAAGTGTTGAGGACAGGCATCTGGGTCCTAGGTATGTCATTTCCCACTGCCAGCGGGTATATACTTCAGCTGCTGTGCTCTGAAGTTTATCACACAGGATCGCTTTGTTTTCCTCATATACGTTCTCCTTGAGTCTGGACAACATATATATTTAGAGTCTGTTTACCTCAGTTTCTGCGAGTGGCAGCTGGCAGGAGAGGGGGAAGTCAGTAATATTGGAACCATCTGGTTGGTGGGAGACAGGGAAGTCTCTAGAAGCAGAGTGGTAGGTATCCCTTTGCAGAGTCCCTTGGGATGATACCCTTTGTGTGAGCCAGTGTATGGTTTATACAGTTCCTGTGGAGTTTTGCCTGCAGGAGATCGTTCCCATACTGCCTTGATGCTGTTTTCTCCCACAGACCACTGCCCCTGCCACTGAACTGTGTTTGCCACTGTAAATCTCAGGGCAAGGAACTGTCACCCATTTCTTGAACAAGAAAGTGAAAGTTAACATTTAGTATCTATAATGAGGCCATTCACAGGATAAGAGTGATGGGAGTGGATGTCTGTTCCCTGATACCTATTCTCTGTTTTATACCATGTCACAGGAATGTTCTCATGTCTTTTAACTACCATTTGAAATTTTTTTTTGTGATTTTGTAAAATTTATTTGAATAGGCCATGATGGAGACTTAAGCTAGTTTCTGGGTTTTGCTGTGATAGAAGACCTTTACTCACCGTGGAAGGGGACTACTAACTCCCCAAGAGACACACATCTGGCTTGCATTGTTACCCCTGCTTATTGATTCATCAGTCATTTCAATGAGAAGAATACATGCTTCTGGATGAAATATAATGGTGATACTTGGGTTTCATCTTCGCATGAAGAAAATTAATTTTAAGAGGCCAGGAAAAGCCATAGATTTCACAACTCTGTGCTAAACATTCATACCACAAATAACCACACTTATTTAGTGGTTTATATAATGAAGCATGGCAGTGCTTTGTTGTTGTTGTTGTTGTTGTTGTTTGTTTTGTGTTTTCGAGACAGGGTTTCTCTGTGTAACAGAGTCCTGGCTGTCTTGGAACTCACTCTGTAGACCAGGCATGCCAGCAACGTCATACTTTGTTCTGAGTATTTTTAAGCTAGTCACACCTGCAAATGTGGAATTCCTCTTATGTCTGCCTTCTTTTTCTTGTGGGCATGTGTAGTGAGTTAGAGGGGATAAGGAAGACAGTGGAGGTCTACATGGTATGGTCAATTCCTTTCCTACACTCTCTCCACCCATTGCCCAAGGTCCAGATGTAACAACCAATAAGTATCAAGTTTGTGGATGGTGTCCCCTTTCATCTCCCGTTGGGAGAATTTCTTCTTTCCAAGGTTGCCAGTGCCTCTTTTATTTTTCTAAACTAAAGCTGCTCAAGGAGGACCTGGTGGGCCATGCCTGTCACCACAGCAGTTTGGAAGGCTGAGTGGGCTATGTAGTGAAACCTTATGTCCCAAAAGAAAACAAAACAACAAAACAAAACACATCAACATCCTTCTCAACATGGCATCCAGTAAGGCTTCTGTCTTTGGAATGGACTGTTCTCCCAAGTTGTCTTTGCTGTCCCCAACCAGCGGGAAGCCACCTGACTTGTTCCTACATAGCAGTCCTTACTAGCATTTTGATTCCGTTTGGGTAGCTTAGTTCCAGGACTCCAGAGTAAGGTCCGTTCTACTTACAGGTAAACTTGCAAGAGAGGCCCCCTAGATTAAAAACAGAATTGGGGTGCTAGAGAGATGGGGGAGGTGGTGAAGAGCGCTTGTGCTTGCAGAGGATTGGGGTCAGTTCTGAGCACCCAGATGGTGGTTTATAACTATTCATAACTTCAGCTCCAGAGGATACCACGCCCCCTTCTGACCTTTGTGACACACATGGAACACACATATATGTGCAGGAAAAACACTCATACACATAAAATAACACATCCAAAAACAAACCAACAAACCAGAATTGGTAAACCAAATCAGGTTTCAAAAGAAAGGAAACACGAAGGCCTTTGCTGTGCATGTGAAAGCCTCTCTTCTTTTCCCAGTCCTGGAGGACAAACTGAGCGAGCGTGTGGGAGTCTGGCTTGAATAAACTCTTAAGATGACGTCACCTGTAATTAATTGCCTGGCTCTGCTTTCTTTCCAAAGTGATGGCTCTTCAGTACCCACACTTATGATAACTTATGTCTCCTGAGTACAGGAACCCCAGGACAGCCAATTTAGGAAGAGACAGTGGATGCTTTCTTATGTAATCTTTGCGCTACTGTAGTGGGCGTGATGTTTAAAATATCTGCTTTTTTCCCCCTTCTTATAGTGCCTGAAACAGTATATGATGCTGTCCATCCGAGAAGGATGTGGGTCTCCCATCACTTGTCCTGACATGGTGTGCCTAAACCACGGGACCCTGCAGGAAACCGAGGTATGGATGCCGGCCGCGTAGCCTTCCCTTCTTCACTGCTGAATTATTTCTTCGGATCCAGACTCTTAAGTGCTGCCTACTGGGGAGTTAGTGACAAAATACAGAGGTTAACTTTTTAAAGGAGTGTTTTATTTCCACACGGAGCTGGAATCTTTATACAAGCTGTGAGCGTGGCTGTTTACCTCAGTTCTGTTTATGTATGCCCTCTCACGTGTTGTAGAAGCTCTTAAAACAGGCAGAGGTGCTAGAAATCAAAGTTACCAAGAGGGAGGCTTGGAGGATGTTTAACGAATGTTCTCATGAGCCTGAAAACTTTGAAGATAGACAGACCATGAGGGAGGGAGTTCTATGGTATATAAATGATCACAGGTCTATACTAGTTTGTTTCATAATGTAGCCTTCTGTAGAGGTAGCCCGAGGTTGAAATATTTCCAAAGAGCAGGGAGAGTGAGGCATCAGCTAGGCCTTTCCTCTCAGAGCAAGTTTTCCTATCTCTCCACGTTGCAGTTTATCTCATCCTTTTGTTTGATTCCCCGTGCCCCCCCCCCCCCCATTAGCTGGCCTGAAATCTGCCTCTGGACCGCCAGGCTCTGTTCACCTGAGTATAATGAACTCTTGTCTGAGAGAATGTATAATCCTCCAAAAGTGCTCCCAAGAAACTGATGAAATAAACTGTCCATTCCGTAAGCACCGGGCACCTGCTAAGCATAAGCACCAGGTACTCTTCCTGTTGCTTCTTTGGCCTGTGTACTAGCTAATCCTTCCCAGAAGCCTCCTGAAGTCTGGTGTTTCTTTAGATATGGAAACTGAAGTCCAGAGGCTGTAAGTGACTTACCTCAGGAGACCCATCTGGAAAGAACTAGAATTCTCATCCAGTTCTTGTGACCACCACAGTTGCATAGCATTAAGGGGAAACAAAGTGGGCAGACCAAATGTGTGGCAAAAGACTTGATAATTAGGGGCTCAGCAGTGTGTGGGTAGACATAAATATGTATATAGGTAGATGTCTGTGTGTACGCGTAGATATACATCTTTCTGAATACACTTTTTTTTTTTTTTTTTAAAAAAAAACATACCCTTTGTTAGAGAAGCAGGGAGAAAGTGGTATAACTACTCCTACCCTGACTTAGTCTGTCCTGTGTGGAATTTATGAAGCATTGGTATAAGTGAAGTAGATTTCTTTCTTTTAAAGAAATACCTTTAAAGGAAGCATAAAAGGAGTACTTAATGATGTAGAATTGACTCGTTTTAAGAAAATAACAAAGCCAAAGTTTTGTTAAACGTATTGAAAATGTACATCCTGTCCCCAGGGACCACTGCTTACTTTTGCTTGAGTAATGGGGTGAGGAGACTAAAGCATGAGAAAGTAGCTGCCCACAACCCTCCTCACCGTGTGTTATGTAACAGAATCATTCGCAGAAGGAGGCCCAAGTATCTGAGAGCATCGATCGTGGCGCTGTCCTTTCTGACGTGTTTCTCTGATGTCTTACTTAGTCCAAGGGTAAATAGAGAGAGCACAAGGTGCAGGTACCACCCTGTGCAGAGACCAAGTGGAGGCCAAGGCGGCCCTGCACCATCCTGGAGGATCGTCTGACCCAGCAGAGGGGCCGTTAATGCACAATGAGCCAGACAGTTATAAAAGTGAAATGCAAGAGATGTGGGGTAGGCTGTACAAGCTGGGTTTGGGTGAACTCTTATTTAATTCCTATATGGAAAATCTATTAAACATAAGTGAACAGTTTGGTGAGGTTTCAAAACAAAGCTTATGAAATTAATCTAGACCCAGTCTGGCAGTTGCCAGTCACGTGTGGATATTTAATTGTAGTTCAATTAAAAGTCTATAAAAGAAACTTAATCTCTCTGGTGTGCCACTTAAGAATTGCTTTGAAGTGTTCATAGCCATTCCTGGTTAATGGCTACATGATTGACAGCTCGGAGTGGAGAATCTTTCTCACTGCGGAAAGGCTGGTTACAGTGTTGTCCTGGACTTCCCATGGCAGCCCTATCCACTGACGTCTTGGATGTTGACTGCTATGGTCAGTGTGTTCAGACACGTGCTGAGTTCAGCCCAAGACTCTCACAGAGCAGACTTTAGGTTTTCTCACTGTCCTTGTACACCCATCTCCTGGTAGCATTCTGCCAATTCTTTCCCAACGGTACACATTCTCACTCCTTTCTAGCTGCTACTAGCTGTTTTTAGTTTTTCTCCCCAAAGCAATTTTACTCTAAGGCTATATTAAAACTAAACAATCCCACAATATTTCTCAAAATTCATAAAAATTTCAAAGTATATTTGGGAAAACAGAACAAAACTATTCCATACTAAACTAATTTAAAATTTGCCACATCTTTTTCTCATTAGATGAACAGTAAGACTCTCCAGGGCATTCGCGGGCCATTTCTATTCTCACTGGCTTTACAGAGAGCCCAGCTAATGATGAAAATTCAGATACAATAGTCAAATTCTGAACCAACCTGCTAGACTCGCAGTCTCCCGTGGTAAAACTGTGGAATGGCAGTGGGGGTTGGTCTCTATCTGAATTTCAAACTGAACAGAGATTATATTGGAGATCTAATTAGCCTTATCTGTTTATTTGGGACTCTTCCTTTAAATGTAATACCACACGTAGATGAACTGGGGCTGTGCCACCCACTTCCCACCATAAAGATTTCGTCGTGTATAATCCGTATGCTACTACATGGCCCAGAGTCTCTGCCCTGTGACTGTCTCATAGTGGGGCTCATTTACATGGCACTTAACCGGAATCCACCACGACTGTTTTCTTCTTTGCCCTTGAGAAAAATGTTTAGCCATGACACATAAATCCGCTTGTTAGCGACGGTCCTGGCTGCAGCTGGTTGAGCTCTTTGTGTGCGTGCTTTCCTGTGTAGGTCCAGCCCGCTCACTTGGCCATGCTCCCTGTCCGTCTTCCTGAATCCTCTAAATTGGCTCAGCTGTGGCTCTGCCTCTTCATGTTTATCTGTCAAGAATAGCCTCATTAGGAAAGCATTTTGATGCCCAGTTCAAGCCCTCTTTGCTTACACAGGAGACAGAACATGGCAGCTTCTCTTGCAGTGTCCCAGAAGCTGGTGAGCGACAGGGACTCGTGCCTCAGAGGTGACCTTTCTGGGAGCTAGGGGAAAGTCAAGTTTTCCTCCATTGCATCATCCGGTACTTTCACCGATTGCTCCGCTGGGTTTTCCCATGTATTGGAACCAGGAACCTGTCCAACCTGGAATTATGAACACAGGACACAGATGGTTATTTCTGTCAGCGTGGCTTTAAGTAAAGCTCGGTATTGAAAGGCCATGTGTAATCTCGGCAGTTCCCTCCAGTGCTGGAGAAGTAGCATGCCCCTGCCGGGAGAGCCTACACTGCCTGTCTGTGCTGTGTGACATCAGAGTGACAGGCACATAAAACCATCGGAACAGTACCTGCCACTGCACGGCCAGAGAAACCGGCCTTTGCCCCCCGACTGGCAGCTGGCAGGGGAGGCAGGAACGTGCCCCTCACCCGCCTCTCACACACCAAGTCTCTTTCCAAGTCCTGAGGCCCTAAAACAACCAGTCTGCTGCCTTTTGCTCCCAGTGCCCCAGTGTGCGCCCGAGGAAGCCTTGCCAGGAACAGGGTCTCAGAATTTCTGTAGGAAGGATTTAGAGTGTAGAGCCCAGAGGTCCAGGGGAGGGGGAAGGAGAAGAAGGGCTAAGGAAATCTGAAGTCACATGTGCAAAATGCAGTTTTCCCCGGATGAGGTGCTCATTTAAGGTGGCTTTGGGAGAGGCAGCTGGAGCTATAGGGACCAGACATTCTTCACGGCTGCCCTTTAACACCCCTCCCTCCCGTTACCACGGTGGGAAGCTGGGGCAGAAAGATGAAGATGGCCAGGCTAGTGAGTCTCTCCCCTGACTGTCGTGTCAGGGCACAAATAGGGAAGGACTGATGTGTGGGAACAACCATCCATTGTGATGATGTGTGCCAGCCGGCTAGAGAACAGCGAAATTTCGGAGGTGGGAGGGGGCCAAGGGAGCTGCCAAGCCAGAGTCAAGAGATATTTCTGAGGTTCCCAGCTGAAATTTATTTTTTGAACACATTTAAATTCTTTTTTTGAGATGTATTTAAAGCCCCATGTAAGTGGAGAATAAAATCTCTGGGATTCTTTAAAAGCCGCGCAAGAAAACTAAACAGCCATTTAGTTGAATTCTATCTCAGTTGCACACATGAGTGTGTTCTCCTAACCTTTAGGTTTGCAGCGGCGAGAGGGAAGGCCAGGGGTGATGTGAACAGCGATCTTGGTTCCAGGTTGCACCACGGCGGCTGCAGAACCCACCTTTTATTTCCCCCTGCCTTGACGCCCTCTGGCTCTTTCCATTCAAGATTTGGTATCCAGTATTTAGGTGTTGTGCTCAGATGAATGGATGGATGCACTCCTTTCTGCTGTTAGAAGGAGCCGCCTGTGTTTGGGGTTGAGACGGAGTCATTGCTAGTTTCTGGGTTAACTCTGTACAAGTGGTTTTTCCTGCATCCATTTTGCAAGTCACAGCACCTCAGCAATGGCCCAGACCTTGCTTGATGGGTTATAATAATCTATCCATGGCCAATTGCACTTAGCTGATGCAGTCTACTGTTCAACCTGTTGCTTTACTTTTTTTTTTTTTTTTTTTAAGCAGCTGATTTAAAGGGCCAAACCTGAATAAAATTTTGACCTCTCCTTCCTATTGGCCTGACTTTGTAAACCAATAGGCAGTACTTCCTGAAGCCTGCCCTTAACTTAGAATTAACTATGACATGTTAGTGTTCTCATTCGAAAGAATATGTGGTGCAGGATCCACGTTTCTTACAGGGTTACCTATCACTTTCAGCATAAATATTTATGATGGGCGGGCTCCACTCTCCCCTCCTCTTCTCGCTCTTCCCTTTCTTTTTTCTTTTTTTATAGGTTAGTGTTAATGTGGGTGGGTGCTTGCTTCCATATTATGGTTCTAGCAAACAGTGAATTTAA